GAGACAGAGACAGAGAGACTCTGTCTCTTCCAGGGAGTAAGGGAGTAACTTCCAGATTATATCCATTTAAATTGGAACGGGCTGTCTCGAAAGGCAGTAACCTCTGTCCATGCAGGGGTTAACAACAAATGGTTTTGGGTGTCAATGATGTGTCTTCCACGTGAAACCATTCAGTAAACATTTGTCAAGCAAACAGCAGCAGGAATTTCTCTCCTCCTACCGTATGTATGCATCTCACAAGAATTGGGGATTTTGTTCTCCTGGGGCCAGCCGGTTGGATCCTGAAAGTCCAGTCCCCATTGTTGTTCTGACGTTGAAGGGGTCCTCACTGAGAAACCCTAGCGAGCAGTCCTGAGTAAGCGGGAGAGGACCGGCCTGCACATCCTCGCTTGGAAGAGCGTGGATGCTTGCAGAGAAGCTCCTGGCGCCGGTGCCAGCTGGGAGCTTCCATGGAGGGGCTCTGCGTCCACAAGGTGAGATGACGCCGTGTTGGCCAGATGGTTGGGCTCCTTGCAGCGGGCTCTGCTTTCATCTCTCTGGCATCCTTGAGCATCTCCTTGCGTTTGGACGCTCCAGCCTTGCCTCGGCTGCTCTGTAGGACAGCGAGGAACGGTGACAAGATGTGTCTGGAACCTGGCATTCTGGGGGAGCCAGCGCCGAGAGTCACAGCGAGAGATCCCGCGACGAAAGGGACATCCTGGGGCAGGAGTGGAAGACAGCTGGAAGTTGTTTTACTTTTATTGAGGAAGCAGAAGTTCCTTTGTCTCCCACCCCCAGTGAAGAGATTTTGGCATCGTATGACAGGACGGATTCAGTGAGCAATTTTTGCCTCCACTCACCAACCATTCATTCATTCATTCATTCACTCATTTATTTATTTTCCCTTAAGCACACGTATCCACGGAGTGCCAGGCACCAAGGATGCAGAGAGGGACACGTGGGCCTTGTTCGCCAGAGGTTCAGTGAGGCCGTGGTCTGGCAGCCCCCCAGGTCCAGTGTTCCTCCCTCCGTAAACTCCTGTAAGCACCTCCCCAAGGCTCTGCAGAGGAAGCACTCGCCTGAATGCCATGAATGAGCTACCTTGCACGGTGGTCCTCCCGTCTGGCCCCCATCGGAATCCCGGGAGGACTCGCTCAGCCCAGAGGGCTGGGCCCAGCCTCAGAGCTTCTGATCTAGCAGGTCCAGGGCGGGGCCTGACAGCGTGCATTTCAAATGCGTTTCCAGGTGTTGCGACCCTGCGGATCCAACGGAACACCGCTGCCTTACGTTTTTGTAGAAGCTGATACTGTCTCTTAAAAACGCTTTCACAATGACCACATTTTATTTTGGTAGCATCCTTGTGAGCCTCAGGCCCAGCATGACGCTCCTTACCTCTTACCCAGGAGAAAACGGGAGGACAGAGAGGTCCACGACTCATGGCAACCTGTTCATTTCCTCCGTGTCCTTCGTCGCAATTTGTAGTTATGTTATTCCGAGTTCAGCTTTTTCAGCGACTGCCTCCTTCGCTGGATGCGAACTTCATGAGGACAGAGATCATGCCATGTTGTTCATTCTGTTTCCTGAGTGTCTAGGATGATGCCTGGCACATAGTAGGTGCTCAACAAATATTTGGGAAAGGAGTGACTGAGTGGTGACTGCCATCACGGGGCTGGTTAGTGGCAGAGTTGGATCCCTCGACTTTCAGAAGCACATTTTCCCTCTAGCAGCCCTCTGTCCTCCAGGGCAGGACCCAAGTGCTCCTGGGCCCAGGAGCCCAGAGCACGGAGGGGAATGGACACAGTGAGAGTCAGTGGGGTCAGACAGCGCCAGTCTGTGCCCACTGCAGGCCAGGTCAATGTCACTGTTCAGGCCTGGACCCCTGGCAGGGGGAAGAACTTACCTCAGATGTGCCCTCCCCACCTTCTGCCTCTCTGCACTTCAATTTCCAAATGTGTGAAATGAAGACAATAAAAGTACCTTCGCTCATAAGGTTGCTGTGAGAATTAGACGAGTTAACTCTAGCCAATAGCTAACATTTATATAGTGCTCCCTGTGTGCCAGATACTGTTCTGGTGATTTACATGATGAACTCATTTAATGTTTTTTTTAAGAGATGAGGTTGGCCAGGTACGTGGCTCATACCTGTAGTTCCAGCAGCATTTTGCGAGGTGGAGGTGGGAGGATAGCTTGAGGCCAGGAGTTCAAGGTTGCAGTGAGCTATGATGGCACCACTGCACTCCACCTGGGCGACAGAGTGAGACCCTGTCTCAAAAAAAAAAAGAGAGAGAGAGAGAGAGAGACGAGGTATTGCTACGCTCCCAGGGTTCTGTGCAATGTCTACCCACAGGCCTGAACTCCTGGCCCCAAGGGGTCCTTCTGCCACAGTCTCTCTGGTAGCTAGGACTCTCGTCACGAGCCACTGCACGTGGCATCATTTAATCTTAATCTTCACAGCAAGCCTGTTCCTGTCCCCACGTTACAGATGAGGAAGCGGAGGCACCAAGGTTAGTACTTGACCGGGGTCACATACACAGCTAGTAAGGGGCAGAGCCAGGAATGAAATCCGGGCAGTCTGGTTCCGGAGCGTGTTCCTGGCTGGAGAATGCATGGCACGAGGAATCTGTCTGCCCAAGATAATGTTGGCTCTTATCATTTTCACGGATGGCACTTCCACGTCAGCCCGGACACCCCCCTCAGTCCCTCTCACGGCCGGGCGCAGTGGCTCACATCCGTAATCCTAGCACTCTGGGAGGCCGAGGCGGGAAGATCACTTGAGGTCAGGAGTTCGAGACCAGCCTGAGCAAGAGTGAGACCCCGTCTCTACTAAAAACAGAAAAAATTAGCGGGGCGTGGGGGTGCACGCCTATAGTCCCAGCTACTCGGGAGGCTGAGGCAGGAGGATCGCTTGAGCCCAGGAGTTTGAGGTTGCTGTGAGCTAGGCTGATGCCACGGCACTCTAGCCCGGGCAACACAGTGAGACTTTGTCTCAAAAAAAAAAAAAAAAAGATGACTTTTCCGCTATCTAAGATTTCAGTCCACATAAATATAACAACTATGGGGTCATTTAACAAGTGCTCATAGTTTGAGTCTGAGGTTGCTGTGAGCTAGGCTGGTGCCACGGCACTCTAGCCCAGGCAACAGAGCGGGACCCTGTCTCAAAAAAAAAAAAGCCTCCCTCCCACTGCGTCCCCGCTAAGTACGGATCCTGCAGCCAGCACCGGGGAAATTCCCAGGGAGAAGAGTGGGGAATTCCTGGGATCATAGATCACTCCCGATGGCTGGAAAAGGCTTTCGCCTTCTGCCTGGCATGCTTCTGAATAGGGGCGATGCCCCGGGCTTGGTCCAGACAGAGGAATCTTCCTGAAGTAGAGCCAGGGCTAGGAGAAGAGCACTGGGGGGCTCCATGCCAGGCACTCTCTGGAGGGGAGGAAATAGTGGGCACATCCCATCATCCTGCTGGTCTCGCCCCCAGAACCCACCCTGGCCTCTCTTTTCCGCTGGTCTCAGACAGCCACAGAAAGGCAGGGCTTGGGCAGAGTGGGACAGGTTAGGGGCGAAGGTCTGAGGCCGTGCACTTAACTTCCATCACTGAACATTTGGTTCCACCTAGTGGCCTCTGACTTTCCAACCGTCCCAGCAGAGACCAGCAGCGTGGATGCCCTTTCAGGCACCAGTGTTTATTGATCACGTACTCTGGGCAAGGCACAGTATGAGGTGCCATGGAGCATCTTTGTGGGTGTAAAGAAAGAGCAGAGAACTCGGCTCACCAGGTGCAGCCCTGTGCGAAGGTCTATGCTGCGTGGGCACGTGCCTGGGAGCATGAGGACCCCATAGCAGAGATGGCACTGCTGAGCGCCTGGCCTTGGCACTTGAATTCTTCTCGGAGACTTCTGTTTCCGCTTCTGAAAAATTAGAAAGTTGGTGTCTCTAGGATCTCTTCCTGTGTTAGAATTCTGTCAGGCTACACAAAGGAGTGGTTAGCGGCTGTCATTCAGTAGCTGTGTGTCCTTGGGCAAATTACCTTACCTCTCTGTGTCTGGGGTAATAACGTAAAGTAAGTGATAGGCTGGGTGCGGTGGCTCACGCCTGTAGTCATAGCATTCTGGGAGGCTGAGGCGGGAGGATCCCCCGAGGTCAGGAGTTTGAGACCAGCCTGAGCAAGAGCAAGACCCTGTCTCTACTAAAAATAGAAAAAATTAGCTGGGCAACTAAAAATAGAAACAAAGATTTGGCTGGGCATTGTGGAAACCGCTTGTAATCTCACCTACTGTTCAGGAGGCTGAGGCAGGAGGATCGCTTGAGCCCAGGAGGTTGAGGTTGCTGTGAGCTAGGCTGATGCCATGGCACGCTAGCCAGGGCAACAGAGTGAGACTCTGTCTCAAAAAAAATAAATAAATAAAATAAAATAAATAAAATAAAATTCGGGACGTTGCTGTTTTCCTTGGGGAGCGGCGCGGTTAGGAAGGAGGTGGACGGGCTCCTACTTGTTGAGAACGGCGTCCAGTTAAAAGGCTGTCAAGTCACACCCAGCTCTGGGCTCGGCTCTGCCTCAATTGTGTGGCAAGTGACTGACCCCAGAACATTCAGAGCTCAGATCTGAAAAGTGGGTGATTATAGCACTTAGCCCCTAGAGCTGTTGTAAGGGAAACTGAAAAACCCGTTGCGTGCTGGGACCTAGTAAGTGTTCAGTCAATGACAGTGACGGTTACTGCTCAGTTTCGAACGTAGGAGCTGCCTTAGAATCAGGTGTGACCAGGAGACCTGTGCCCCAGACACCTCGCCGCCGTGTCACCCCAGGCCAGCCACACGTCCTCCCTAGTCTCCGTGGCCTGCAGCAGGTGCCTCTGAGGGCCCCGCAGTCGGACACACTGTGGGGCCCAAGAGGGAGAGTCGTGCAGCACGACACGCGCGAGGGCAGCAAAGAGCGCTGTGCGTCCAGCAGAGGGCCCTGGCCGGCCCGGCCGGGGGCTGGGCAGGAGGGCGGTGATGCCAGCCGCCTGACGGGAGGCGGACCCAGCCGGCCCGCTGCCTCTCTGGAGCCCTGCACTTGGGCGCCCTGCCCTCACCTGCTCTCCGTGGGGCAGCTGCCTCCTGCTCGTGCGGCCATGCGGCGGCTGTGGCCCCTGGCCATCTGTCTTGCTGCCGTGTGGGCTGCGGGACTCAGCAGGGTCTCCGGGGGTGCCCCTCTGCACTCGGACAGGCGCAGAGCTGAGGCCCAGGAGCAGCAGAGCCGACCCAAGAGAGGCACCGAGGATGAGGAGGCCAAAGGGGTACAGCAGTATGTGCCTGAGGAGTGGGCCGAGTACCCCCGGCCCATCCACCCTGCTGGCCTGCAGCCCACCAAGCCCTTGGTGGCCACCAGCCCCAGTCCAGACAAGGACAGGGGCACCCCAGGCAGCGGGCAGCAGCTGAGAGGCAATCTGACGGGGGCACCGGGGCAGAGGCTGCAGATCCAGAACCCCCTGTACCCGGTGACAGAGAGCTCCTACAGCGCCTACGCCATCATGCTCCTGGCCCTGGTGGTGTTCGCCGTGGGCATCGTGGGCAACCTGTCGGTCATGTGCATCGTGTGGCACAGCTACTACCTGAAGAGCGCCTGGAACTCCATCCTCGCCAGCCTGGCCCTCTGGGATTTTCTGGTCCTCTTTTTCTGCCTCCCTGTTGTCATCTTCAATGAGATCACCAAGCAGAGGCTGCTGGGTGACATTTCTTGTCGGGCCGTGCCCTTCATGGAGGTGAGTGTACGTCCTGCCAGAGCTCAGCCATGGGGCTACAATCCAGGGAAGGGGGCCACGTCTCCGTCAGGCCCTTGGAAGTGGCATTTGTGGGTGTGCAGAGCCGTGGAGCTCTGACTTGCTCCTCCTGCACCTGGGGAAGGGTGCAGACACGGTACTGGTTTCTGGTCACTCGCGGGAGAACCAGGCAGGTGTTCAGGACCCCTGGGTTCCAGCCCCAGCCTGGTCTCCCGCTTTGGGAGCAACCTCAAGGCAGTGCTCTTGCCCCTTCCCTAGACCCTAAGCCGCCCCACCCTGCCTCAGCCCCTCCGTCATTACACCCGAGAAATCACGCTGCCCTTTGTCGTGCCTCCTCTTCCTCCCTTTGTGCCTGTTGCCGCTGCCCCGCACCCACAGCTTCCCTACTCTACCCTCAGTATCCTGCCTCCCTACGCAGAGCCCGGTTTCCTACAGACCCCGTGCTAAAGTCGCCATCCACTCCCTGGGAGCACAGACGCCAGAAGGAAAGACCCTTCCTTCCCTTTCTCACTGTGATTCTCATCATCGCTGTTGTCTCCATCAGCAACCTCCTAAATCCTCTCTGAAAGGGAAGATCTGGTTCTGGCGCTGGAGCTAGCTGGGGGCTCTAGTCTCAGCTCTGCCGCTGACATGCTGGCTGTCACTGGGCGGGTCGCACCGCCTGCCCAGTTTCCTTAGCCCCCAACCTGGGGGTAGACCAGATGGCCCTTCCAGCCAGTGCTCTAAGGTGTATCACTGCACCTTACTTCTGGGAACTTCCACCCCAGGGTAAGTCCATCGGTGTTGAAGGATGTGCAGATCAAATAGAGACAACTTAAAACACTGCAAAAATATACCAGTACAGGTACATTTATGAAAGAGACACAGCAAGACCACCGTCTCTGTATCAGAAGATAAATAAGCAAGCAGCCTTCTAAATTTTGGCTGCATGGGGGGTAACATTGAGGACTTAGTGACTGTGGCTGTTCCCCTGTGGGTGACCCTGCATGACACGAGTGACCTGCCTGGCTGGAGAAGGAATCGGGATCAGGCATTTGGACACAGGTCCTAGTCCCAGGTCTGTCCCTAAGTCACTATGTGTGAATGACGATTTCACACCTGGACAGACTCTCTGAGGCTCGGCAGCTGGTACAGTCCTTTCCTGTCCTTTCCCAGCAAGGGAGGCTGCCTGACGGTGGCCCAAAGGCACCTTGACCTGAAAGGAGACCTGCAATGGGGACAGCCTGTGCCTCTTAGTCATCCCAGCCAGGTGAGCTGAGAGCAGTCAGACACGCGACTTCGGAATGGGGCAGGCTTGATTAGAAAATGGGCTTTGCCTGTCACTAGCTGAGTGATCTTGGTAAGTTACTTAACCTGCTTAAACCTCAGTTTCCTCATCTTTAAATTGGGGATAACGGCAACAACAGCGACAGCTACCTGCATGAATTCTTGAAGGACTAAACGGTGATGTTTATAAAGTGCTTAGAATTAAAATAATCCAATAGTTGGTGGTTTTTACTGGGGAATGGTGTAAGAGGAGAATGGGGAAGCACAGACGCATGTGAACTCTTGCTTGCAAGTGGCCAGTGGGGCTGTGAACGCCTGGCCCTGCCTGGCTGTGGGTCTCAGCGTACCCGACATGCAGGCTCTGGCCTCGGTCCGGCTAGGCCACCCGCCGTCCCTCCTGGGGCATAGAGATGACCCATGGGCTGATAGAGTGTCCTCCCTCCAGGCTGGGCAATGGGGTGGGAGTCGGGGGGCAAAACAGCTGCCCCGAACCCTTTCATAGGGAGGATCTCAGGATGGCCCCCAGCAGGGAGCAAAGAAGACAGCTTGGAATAAATACGAGATTTTTTTTTTTTTGAGACAGAGTCTCACTCTGTTGCCCCGGCTAGAGTGAGTGCCTTGGCGTCAGCCTAGCTCACAGCAACCTCAAACTCCTGGGCTCAAGCGATCCTTCTGTCTCAGCCTCCGAGTAGCTGGGACTATAGGCATGCGCCACAATGCCCGGCTAATTTTTTTCTATGTATTTTTAGTTGTCCAGCTAATTTTCTTTCTATTTTTAGTAGAGACAGGGTCTCGCTCTTGCCCAGGCTGGTCTTGAACTCCTGAGCTCAAACAATCCGCCCGTCTTGGCCTCCTGGAGTGCCAGGATTATCGGCAGGAGCTACCGCGCCCGGCCTCGCCTTGAGATGTTTTTTGAGATGCAGGGACAGAGGGAGAGAGTGGTGTTTTGCTCAAGCCCGAGGGCCGCTCCTCCGCAGGCCTGGGCTCCCCTGCCAAGGGAGGGGGCTGGGGTTCTCACAAAGGACACTTGGTGGCAGTGCTAATAAGCCGGGGATTGTGTCCGCCAGCCAGAAGAGGGAGGAATTTGGACAGGAGGGGGGATCTCAGCACAATCCCCGAGTGTGGCTGGACATCATTTGGTGGCGCGGGAGGGTTCTCCTCTCCCTTTGTGTTCTCTGGCGCTCTCCCCCCCACTGCTCTGGCTTCTTCCTCTTGGCTCGCAGGGTCATTTTCCTGTGTGCTCAGTGACTTCTGTGTGGGAATGGGGGGTATGGCTGGCTCGGAGGGGGCTGCTTCCCCATGCAGCCGGCCCCGGGCTCCTCAGGACGGGGCCAGGAGAGTGAGCATGTGTGAGCGCCACGCTCCCCAACACCACCCACCCGATCGGTGCAAAACATGGGTGGGTGCAGGAAGTGGAAGGACCAGCAAAGACCCAGAACTTCTGTGTCTTTGTCTTGGTTCTTCCTTAGAGATGAATTTCCAAAGTTTCTCAGAGAGCACGGGGTCTGCGGGAGCCAGGCCATTTGTCCCCTAGCCTGAGAGGCAAAGACAAGGTGGGAAGAGGCAGGTGTGTGTGCTTGAGCCTCACCCCTGCCATCCATCAGCGGTGTGGGAAGTGCCTGGCCAGTAGAAAATGCTCGTTAAATAGTCGTTGTTGCTATTACTGTTACTTCTATGCTTCTCACTCAGTCTGTCCTCCTCCCTTGTCCCCAGAGGTTTTGACCAAGTGCTTCTGTCTTCCTCCACTTCCTTGCCCACAGGTCTCCTCTCTGGGAGTCACGACCTTCAGCCTCTGTGCCCTGGGCATCGACCGCTTCCACGTGGCTACCAGCACCCTGCCCAAGGTGAGGCCCGTCGAGCGGTGCCAGTCCATCCTGGCCAAGCTGGCTGTCATCTGGGTGGGCTCCATGACGCTGGCCGTGCCTGAGCTCCTGCTGTGGCAGCTGGCGCAGGAGCCCGCCCCCACCACGGGCACCGTGGACTCGTGCGTCATGAAGCCCTCGGCCAGCCTGCCCGAGTCCCTCTACTCGCTGGTGATGACGTACCAGAACGCCCGCATGTGGTGGTACTTCGGCTGCTACTTCTGCCTGCCCCTCCTCTTCACCGTCACCTGCCAGCTGGTGACGTGGCGCGTGCGGGGCCCCCCGGGCAGGAAGCCGGAGTGCCGGGCGGGCAAGCACGAGCAGTGTGAGAGCCAGCTCAACAGCACCGTGGTGGGCCTGACCGTGGTCTACGCCTGCTGCACCCTCCCCGAGAACGTGTGCAACATCGTGGTGGCCTACCTCTCCACCGAGCTCACCCGCCAGACCCTGGACCTCCTGGGCCTCATCAACCAGTTCTCCACCTTCTTCAAGGGCGCCATCACCCCCGTGCTCCTGCTGTGCGTCTGCAAGCCGCTGGGCCAGGCCTTCCTGGACTGCTGCTGCTGCTGCTGCTGCGAGGAGTGCGGCGGGGCCGCGGAGGCCGCGGCCACCGACGGCTCGGACAACAAGCTCAAGACCGAGGTGTCCTCCTCCATCTACTTCCACAAGCCCAGGGAGTCGCCTCCGCTCCTGCCCCTGGGCACGCCTTGCTGAGGCCCGAGCAGGGGCGGGCGGAGCTGCCACCCAGCTGGTGTCTGCCGTTTTTTCCCCATAGGTCTTGCTTTGCTGCCCGTCTTGCTGTCTAGAGATGGATTTGGTTCCTCTCGTCGAGGTTTGGGGACGTCAAGCCCCCTCTCCAGGCAGGGCCCTTCCTGTCACTTCTGGGGCCTTCTAGCCCTGTCCTTTCCACCAGTGGGCAGTGATGCTTCTAGGTCCTTAGAGCGGCCTGGAAACTCAGTGCCACCAGTTGGGAGCCGGAACTTTACCTGCCATCTCCTGGTTCCAGCCCTCCTTCCCTCTCTCACCTAGGGACCTGACTCTACTTCAGGTGCCCCCTCTGAGCATCGTCCCCGACCCTTCGCCCTGGAGCCCCATCCCGGGTCGGGGCTCCCTGGGGTTGCCCAACTTGGCTCAGTTCCCTCTTTTCCGGACTGGCTCTGTCCCAGCCCTGGACGCGCCCTGTTACCGGAGACTTCTCTTCTTCTGGAGGACGTCTCCCTCCTTCCTCCTCGTTTCTTTGAGATGCCCCGGGTTGCCCTGTCCCGGCCCCCCTTGTTAGGTGCTTCCCTATAGAAGGCCCGTCTTGAAAAACAATAAACTAGGTAGAAATACCCCTATGCCCACTGCACTTTCTTGTGCCGGATCTTGGCAGAGCCCAGATGCACCTGGGCCTTCCCTGGGCCAGGCGGGGCCCTGGGGGAGTTCCTGCTGACCGCCTTTGGTCTTGGCCTTGGCCTTGGCCTGCGGCTGCTGTACTGCACAGCCCTGCCCCTTTAAGGGTGTTATGGCTTTTGAGGGACAGAGAGGACGGAGGGCTTGGGAAGCCGGGGGTGAGGGAGCGGGCTGAGGTTGTGGGGGAGACTTAAATCCTCATCCTGCCCTACACTCAGCGGTCCCTGGGAAGTCAAAAGGCTGTGAACTCATGTCCTCCGGAGCCCCCTTGTCTGTTTGGCCCTCTCTCCACAAAGCCCCCATTCGAGCGAATCCAGCGGCCTTCCCTCCATGAGCCTCAGGGCTGCCCAGCCTCTCGCTCTGAGAGCTGGCGTTGTTCGCTTTCTTGGAATGGAGTGTTCGCTGCTGACGGCGCAGCTGCTGCCCCGGGCCTGCCCCCACCCCCCAGCAGCCCCCGCTTCCCGCCAGAGCTCCATCACCGTCCCCAGCAGACCCTGCAGCTCCTCCTGCCACCCGTGCCCTTGAAGTCCCCCTTCCCACAGCTCCACCCCTGGGGCCTTCCAGAGGGCACCCTGAGCCCTGTCGGTCCCTGAGAAGCTGACACGTGAGCCGGAAGTGAGGCCTCAGCCTGGGCCACCAACCGCTCCCTGCCCCAGAAGCCCAGCTTTCCTCAGAGCCACCCTCCCCTGTCCGAAGCTCAGCTCCAGGTCCTCCGAGAGACTTCCGCCCCCTGGGCCACCTAGAACCTCCACACCAGCCTCAGGAAGGGCCCCCGGGGCCCAGGGGTGCTGAGGGGCAGGGGGTTCCAGTGCCCTGGGCTCCATTCTCCTCTGTCCACCCACCCACGCCCCTTGGCCTCAGCCTGCCCTGTGCCCAAGCTGTCCTCCCCCTCTCCCAGGGATCTTAACGGCCTTGTTCTCGCTCCCTGGCACCCACCCCCAGGGCTGGGTGTCGCCAAGAGAGCAGGAGGCCGTTGCTAGGTGATGTTGCTGCCATGCGCACACCCTTTGTGCTGGGGAATGACACCCACCCATCTCTCAGCAGACCTGTTGCCACGGTGACTGAAGCCCCCAGCTTTGTCTGCAGAAACTTAACATGGAGGGGGGGCGTGGAGGAGAGGGGGCCGAAGGCGGGCTTGCTGCGCGGCGGCTACTGGGGCCGCTTCCTCCATGTTTCCCCCACCTCCTTCTCTGCCCCCCCTCCAAGTCCCAGGCCACCAAGTTTCCTAAGGGACACAGGCAGGGGGCCGGGTGAACCAAGGTGAAGTCCGGTGGGGAGGGAGAGGGCTGAGGATGGAAGGCTGTGGGCAGGGGAGGGGGCACCTCAGCATCCTGTTTGGGGGGCACCCTCTGCCTTTCCCTCCCGCTGGTTGGCCAGAGGCGAGCGGGGGTTGGCAGTGAATCCAAGGCCCTGCCACCGCCGCCTCCAGGCCTGCCAACGTGAGTGGCTTGCAGAATCGGCCAGCAGGCCAGCGGCCTTGGGAAAGAGCCTCTGTCCCTCCAGCCTGGGCCAGCTGGGGAAACAATGTGGGGTTTGTTGCTCAGGGGTCCCAGGCCTGGGGTAGGGGGAGGGTGGCACATGGCGGCGGTGAACTCGAGCTGGGATGCTGAGGGGACACGGACACGCCCAGAGCAGACTTGGGGGGACCAGCCTACAGATCCAAATGCCAGGTTGGCGGGGGTGAGGGGCCTGCCATCCACTGCATCTCCCACCCGCTTAGGAAATCACCCTTCCATCGTTTATCCGAATACATCACTTAGCCTCGCTCGCAGTCTCAGCTTCCTCATCTGCAAAATGGGAACAGTCCCTCCCTCACAGAGGACTGTGGTCATTTAGTGAGACGAGATACATAAAGTGTCTGGCATGGTGCTTGGCACTTTTTCTTCCTTCCTTCCTCTCCTCTGGGAATTCAATTCTCCAGTGCTGTGGGGCAGGCTTGGCCAGGGTATCCTTAAACTCTTCCAGGTCTTGGCATGAAAGGGCCCCAAACGTGATGATTTACATATATTCACTGTTCCCCGGTCAACTTTTAAAAGTTTTTTTTTTGAGTTGGGGTCTTGCTATGTTGCCCAGGCTGAACTCCTGGGCTCAAGCAATCCAACTGTCTCAGCCTCCTGAAATAGCTTAACAAGTTCTTTCAGTCATATCCGGCCCCTGCTGTGTGCGGGCACGATGGTGGGATGCTGGTGCTTACTGGTCGCCCGCTAACTCCCACTCACCTCAAACCTCAGCCCTCACTGGAGGATGACAGAGCTTGAGAAAAACAGCCCCAGATGAATGACTGTCCTCTCCCCTCTGGCTCCCAGGCCAGGGGCAGACCCAGCCACCTTTGCAGCCAGGAGAAGGCAGGGGACAGAGCCTGGGCCACCTTCAACCTTAACCAGCGGAGCACGTCTCCTGATCCTTAGGAGCTGGAAGGCGCCCTAGCATCATTTAGCTCTGGTTGCGGAATTCCATCCCCAATCTTTCCTCAAACTCTGGCTACGGGGAGCTGCCTCTCCAGGTAGGGTGTTCCTCTCCACCCACCGCTCCAAAGACTAGAAAGTGCCTCCAGGAGGAAGCCCTGGGCACCCACAAAGGGCAGGGGCTGGGGGGCCCAGGACAGGGAGGTCAAGGGCTCTTCCCAGAACTGAGGGGAAAAGCTCCTTTGCCCCGCGGTGGGAGGCCTGGGAAGGGACGATGTTCCGCAGGGGCCTGCTCCACTTTGCAGGGTGAAGGGGCGGCGGCGCAGCAAAGGCGGGGCTTATAGCAAAACTGGGTCAAGATGCCTCCATGCGAGCAGCAGGCCCAGGAGGCTCCCCGGCAGCAGCTGTGGGCAGTGCAGAGGGAGGCCTGGCTCCAATGGAGGGCAGGGCTCCTCCCGGGAAGCCAGTGGCACTGCCACCAACAGAGAGGCAGCAGGAGAGGACGCCACTAGGACAATTAACAGGCCCCAGGGTAGGGACTAGGGTGGGGGCCCAGTGCTGGTTCTGGCCCACCCTGGCTGCAGGGAGGTCCTGGGCCTGGGAGAGGGAGCGGCTGGGGACTGAACTGGTTACGAGGGACACCCAGTCGCAGCACAAACCAGCACCCAGCCCCCGCCCTTCTGCCACTACCACCCAAGCCCCTCATAGCTCCCCCTGGCAGCTGCCCGCTCAAAGCTGGACCATGTGAGAGTCCGAACAGAGCAGGAGGAGGAGGCAGCGCGAGCCCAGACGCACACACGTGTGGGAGACTGTTCTGTGCAGCGCCATTGTGTCCCCGAGTGAGCACGTGCCCCACTCTCTGTGGGCGTGGCTCTCTGTGGCTCGTTTGTGCCCCGTGTGCGGGGGTGTGCTGGTGCCTGTGGGCCTGCCCCTCACCCGCTCACTCCATGCCACCTGCGGGAAAAGAACCGGTGCCATACACCCCCCCAACACAAAATTGGTCATTTATTTTTGTTGTTGTTATTAGGAGGCAAAAAAATGTACAGTTACAAGAATCATTTTCCAAACAGAGGTTAAATATGAGCTGAAAAGTGTAAAAAAGGAAGAGGAACATCACTTTACAAATCATTAAATTAAACAAATAAACAAACAAAACCCAAAGAACCAACCCCCCAAGCTGAGTTCTCTCCTTGTGCAACTCTGTAAAATGAGAACAGAAAATGAGGTGGGCCATGGAGGTGGGGGCCCCGGGGAGGGGCCGGAGCCAGGAGCCGGGAACAGGCAGGAGGGGGTGCTGGGGCGGCGTGGACGCTGCTGCCTGCCCCACGGCCTGGTGGTCTCTGGCACCTGGTGATGCCCGGCGGCCCTACCACGGCTGGGAGCAGAGAAGAGGCACCTCCAGAGGCTGCTTCCAGCCTGTGGCATTCGAGCACAGCAGGGACACGCCAGACTGGGAGGTGGAGACACACGCAGGACAGGGGTGGCCACCAGTGCCCAGGCTGGTACCTGCCCCAGGTGCCAGCCTCCACCCTTCCTGATCTGAACTCGCCCTACACCAGCCGGCGCCTCTTCCCTTCTCTCCAGGCTGCCCCCTCCCAGATCCTGAATGGCCCCTGCAGCATCAAATGGTTGATTTTAGTCTTTGCTTAAATTAAAAAATTAAAATATATATACATATATATACTGTACACACAGGACAATAACAGAGTGTTGGAAGTACAGGAGCGGAGGGCAGGGGCTGCGGGCCGGGGTGTTGGGAGGGGAGGAGGGGGGCAGGGCTGGGTGAAGGGACCATGGCAGGGGGACAGTGAGAAGTTAGGGGACCAGAATGAGGGGCAGTTTATTTTACAATAAAAACAGGAGTTCAAACCTCAGCAGAATGGGACTCTGGGATCCCAGAGGGGCCCCCAACACTAAGTGAGGGGGGTGGGCCTAGGGGGGACGACGGGGGTGGGCGGGGAGCTTGGCTTCGGGCTTCGATGATGACGGTCCCTGGTCCGAGGGAGAAGGGCCGTAGTCTCAGCTTCTCCGTGACTTTGAGT